GAGATAAATACATGGGGAGATAGCCCGTCTTCTGCTCTTTCAGAAATGCTATAGGTTTCTATCCAAAAACCTTTTTTGGCTGAAAACCCTGATGGTTTCTGTAATCCCCTGCAGGAAAAATACGTTTTTTTTCTAAAAAAAAAAGAGAATTTCAAGATTTTTTCCAAAAAAGTAAATATTTTGATAGATTTTTAAAATATTTTAATAATTTTTATAGAAAAATGAAATCTCTAACAGCAAAAAATAAGAAATAAACTGATTGATACACACGAGGAGAGCTGTATTAAAAAAACCTTTAATATGAAAAATTTTACAAAAGAAGAAAAAAAAACTTTATTAACAGTTACTTATTGTTCTTCTATCCATGTTCTTTTATCTTTGGAATTATAATAACCATAATCATCATCTAATGACTCATCATTACTTGATATTGTGTCATTATCATCAGTGACATGTTCGTCACTATCAGTTGTTGTGTCATTATTCTCAGGTGCTGCTCCAGTCACAGTATTTGTATCATTATAATCATCATCTATTTGATCAGCACCATCGATTACTGCATCATTGTCCTCTTCTTCATCGTCATTTTGAATCAAAACATGGCCAGCTTCTTTTCTTCTTTTTCTGTTGTTTTCTTTTGACTCCGTATGCAGTCGATTGTTATCAAAACGTACCATTGCTTGATCAGTATAATAACCACGATAACCACACATGACATTGAAAATATCTCCTGTGAAAATATAAGACAAATATTTATCTGAAAAAAAAATCAAAAACTTCAATTATGATTTGAAATAGCTTGTGAAATTATTTGTTTTATCATACCTAATGCAAAATATCCATCGTTAAATATTATTATTGCAAGACAACATGCGATTTCGAAAGTTGTCTCAGATGATGCCTTGTGTTTTAGTGACATAAGCCAAACAAGCGAATGAAAACCTTCATTTGGGTTTTGAGTTGAATCATCCACCACACGTGTAAGGCTTTCTCATGAAAAAAGATTGTTAAAAACTGATTTAATTGCATGAAGTACAGGACGAGGTATAGCATGCGACGTATGATCATATGGAGTTTTATCATGAACAGATTTCAAATAGCCACACCAATCGATACTGCAATAATCATGACGAGGATCATCATTGGTCGAATATTAATGCCAAAATATTGCCCAAGATCCTTTAAATAATAAATCTAGATCATGCTTGAACTTTCGAATGTTAGAGGCCAATGTCATTTGTAATCGAAGTATATTATGAACTAAAATTAAAAAAAAATATCCAAATTTTCGATTTCTTTTGTTTCAAAATCTTCTTCTGAATTAGAAAGACTTACCAGATAGACGATTTTTACCACCAATTGTTTTACCATCAGATAGTTTTTTTCGTCCGTGTTCACGTTTTATTGTTTCTAATCCTCGTTTCATTCTTTTGCTAAAATGATTCAAGTCTTCGATTTTTTTAATTTCTTTTCCTAAAATTACAGAACAGTTAGAGCATACTTTAATTTAGAAAAAAAATTCTCAAATCAAATATATATAGTATACCTGGATAATGTACGATTTTTGAAAGCACTGGGAAGGTTTTTGAATCACCATCACCAACGTACTTAGTATAGTAAACTCCATATTTTGAAACTGATCGTTTGAACATAGTAAGAATAGCAGCAGATTCCATTGTACCAGAACTTTTTTCATAATTTTTTTCACATCGATGCGTTCTAATAATATTTTCATATTTAGCAGGATTGGATGTTTTAATAGACAGTGCACCTAAAAAAAGAGTATTCAATCAAGAAAAAGAAACTCACCCATGTAAGTATTGCATGTTTTACTGCATGTTTCTATATCCAGTACTTTTGGTGTTGGGTTACAAGATAAAAGAGCAGCCGCACCATGTCTGCTTTGGAAACCTCGAGTCTGCCAGAATCCATCTCCACTAACCATTAATTCTGTACCATTTTCAGCAGCTACAGTTTCCTCTACTGCTTTCTTCATTGATCTTCCGGTGAATGATTTTACTACAATTAGTAAATTTCTATTCCATTTGGAATATCTTTCATCTTGAATGGGACTCGGTAAATTCAGAGCACCCATCAACTTCACTAATCCAGCATGTCTGATACCACACAAATGACCACTTATTTTTGATCTTACGTTGATGTCTCGGCGATCTGATGCAACAATCTTCGGACTTGTTTCTAAAAATTAATTGAAAAAAATTTTGGATACATCAATAAAACGCAGACGGACTCGATAGTTAGAAATATTTACTTACCAATGGTGATTATGTTTTGACATATTGAACATTGAAAAGATAATATCAGGAATAAACCTTCGCGCTTGTTGATGTTCATATTTCCACTCCAACGATTTCTACAAGCTTCACAATTTGTCTTGAAAATAAGAGACAATAACACTTGATTTTGTATTATTGAGTATCTATCCAATGGTACTTTCGAATATGACTTTGATGATGTTGATGTTATATCCAACTTCGTTTTGTTTTTAATCTTCTGTTGTGATGGTAAAGACGAACGTGTTGAAGATGTAGTTAGATTTGACGTTGTAGTTTGTGTTGTTGATATGTTTTTCGATTGTAAAGATGATGCTTCCATTCGTTTATTTTGAACTTTACGAATCGATGTTCTTCGTCTACTGCGTCTAATATTAAAATTTTTTTATTATAATAAGAATAATTATCAAATAAAAATTTTTTCCTTATAGCATTAGTTACAATATTCAATGATTTCAGATAGAGAGTAGAATAAAAATTTGTTTGATATCACATACCGTTTTACGCTTTTTCTATTGGACATGACGTTTCAATCAACAATTCTTGAAAAAACAGCTGTGATAATAAGTCAAATATAAATCTAAAAAAATATTTATGAAATCAAAATCTGACCTCGTTTATTTACTTTTTGAACACACTAATATCATCATATACTGATAAAAAAGACAAACAAACGTGGCACACGTTCTTGTATGTTTAGAACATGACTGGAAATTAGAGAACACGAAAAAATAAATTTCAAGAGCGAAGGAAAGCAAAACAAAGAAAAGGCATCGCAAACGATGTGTTCTAGTATGATCGATACATTTCATAAGAATTAGTCATTTGTTAGACTATTTTTGTCTTTTCTTTCTTTCTCTCTGATAACAATTATACATCATAAATGCTGGTTTTAGTATATAGTGATACAATATATTTGTAATAAGTATCCTTTTCAGTAAACAAAAAAGAATGAGACAATGTATAGTTAATGTTACCAGTATTTTTTCGATCAAGTCGACCATGTCCCTGTCGATATAAGTAACATAATATTTTACAGATGTTCAACATGTCATAAAAGGTTCTGGTTATACAAAATTCAAAATTATATAGACAACTGTTAGTCAATTTCTTCAAATAGACGCTAAAAATTGCTAAAAACGATAAAATATCAAAAAAATTTTCGCCAAAATCTTTTTCGTTTTTTCTCAGTTTCCACTTTCTCAAAAGCGCATCCCAAATTTCTCCTTCTCGGTTCATTCAATGTATTAATATTTTTTTTTTGTTTGAAAGAGCATCTCAAGGCGCAGGGCACGATGGGGCCATTTTTTTTAATTAAACCTTTTTTTGGTTAATATACAGCCAGTTATATGATTTGGTTACCATTTTTTGACACTTTTTTCAGTAATTGAACTTATGATCTCTTTTTTGCGCTTAAAAATGGACTATTTCAAAAAAACGGCCCCATCCTGCCCTGCATCTTAAGATGCTCTTTCCAAGAAAAAAAAATATTAATATATTGAAGGAACCAAGACCGAAAAATTTGGGATGCCAAATCAGTCATTTTTGACCCTTGTTCGGTTCATATCTCCCTAAAATCAAAAGGTTTCGGGCCGAAAATGTTATGGTAGTCTTTTCTTTCCAACCCCAATATATCCTGAAAGTTTCATGGAATTTGGATGTTCCTGGG